AGAACAATATGATGGTGAGCAACCATGATCTCATGGCAGCCCTCTCCCTTGACAGGTTCAGGGTCACCACGTTCGGGACCTGCACCTCCATACTGATGGGGAAAACAGGGGCGACAGCTTCTCCTGAACCTCCATACCTTGCTGCCTGGGGCGCGAGTTCCCCTTGCCAGACGGGGGTGCGGTGGGGATCACCGCGTCCATGGAAAGGGCCGCCCTGCTCCAGAGGTCGCGTTCCCCGCCCAAGCTTGCCGTTCGAGGCGACCTCCTTGCTCTGGCTCATCGGACCCTTGTTCTTGTCATTCTCCTGGCTCGCCATGACAGGGGGCTCGACGATGGTAGTAGGGATGGCACCCGCCGGGTTTGGGTACGGGTGGAGTTACCCCATACCCTTACCCATCCCCTTTGAGCTTACCCATCACCCGTACCCATACCCGTCAACGGGTACAATTTTTCCCCATACCCATCACCCGACAGGGTAAATGGGTACCCACGGGTATAAATACCCACGTGTGCAGACATCAACTTGAGCAAGAAATAATCATAAACGACAACATATCAACATAATTTATAGACATCACATACTAATAAACAACAACACATCATAAAGAAAACACAATCCCATAAACAACACCACTTATTTGTATGCAGCAACACATAGTCATTTATTTTAAGTTCACAAAATCACGACAAAGTATGGAGGTAATTTGACCGTACATAAGGCCACAAAATAAGCATCCCAATAAAGTTTCGACATTGTAACTAGTTCAATTAAAATAAACTCGACCAATCCGATAGTAGCATAACGAAGACCTTGGCACAATAAGTCGTCAATCTTGAGCATAACTCGCCGAGACCATGTCTCTACATCTCAAAGGGCCAAGTCCTGGTTGGAAACATGAATGTAGTCATTTTATTAGAATTTTTCTTATAGCATATGCACTCAAATAATCTATCGGCAAAGGAAATGTGTTGGTGAATACTAACCTGCATCCCCTCTTGAATGTCTTGAAGGCAAGTCCAAAAGCTAGCATCTCCTTTATGAGCATCTAAAACACACAATTTGTAGAGATGACAAGACATGATTAGAAATAGTTAAATAAAGAGTAAGTTTGAAAAAAAATTACATTATTTGCTCACCTTTGCATTTGTTTCTAAGCCAATCTTGGGAGCACATCAAAACTTCCACCATATCAGGAGTTAGGCGGCTCCTATGTTCACTAAGTATTCTGCCACTTGTACTAAAGGCCGACTCTGAAGCAACTGTTGTCACGGGAATGGCAAAAATATCTCTGGCAACCTTCCTTAATGTTGGATATCTTGTTCCAGCTACTTTCCACCAATCCAACACACTAAATACTTCTGTGTATGGCACTAGGCCATCTGCCAAGTACATATCTATTTCACCTTGCAACCGAGCTGTAGCAGGACTTTGTTTGGCGACAATGTCATTGAAAATATTCATGATGGCTGGAGCTTTCATTGAAGAAATCAATTCTTCACATGGTTTATATTCATCTACTTCCACTTCATACTCCTCTATCAGTGAATGTAATCTAGCAACTAATGCATCAACCAACTCCACACACTCATAAGAAGATGGCTCAATGCCATGAAGCATGGCAAAGCAAGCAGTCAACATGTGCCTCTTGTACCGAGGATCAAGAAGTGTAGCCATCCCCATGAGATCTTGAATGTCCGTCCAATACTTATCAAATTTAGTTGTCATTTCCTCAGAGAGTTTTTTGATAATTGGGTTGCTACAAGTGGCCCACTGTCTCATTTTCATTTTAATCTCACAGATTCTAGGGAAGTAAACATTAGCGGTCACATAATTAGTTCCGGAGAACAACTTAGTTATCTCATAGAATAAGCCAAGTCTCTCCACCATCTCTGCAGCAAACTCCCATTCTTTATCACTAGGTAAATGCTCATATTGTTTGTCAACTTGTTTTGCACGTTCAAAAACAACTCTATATGGTAAAGCTGCTTCTAGCATCATGAAAGTGGAATTCCACCTAGTTTTGCAATCAAGAATCAACTTTCTTGTTATTTTTACTTTCTTAAACTTAGCCATCTCCTCAAACTTCTCTATCCTTTTTCCTGTCGCGGTCCAATATGCCACACTTTCCCTAATGTTTTCTATAGCTGACTTCATAACATGCAATCCATCCTTAACTATAAGATTTAAGATGTGTGCACTACAACGCATATGCAGCAGAGTACCTTCCAAAGGGAGCTTCTCCTTCCCTATCTTCCCCACAATCATCTCAATTGCCTTGTCATTGGTGGTGCAGTTATCCACAGTCACTGCCATCAATTTTTCATCAATATTCCATTGAAGCAGGGAGTCATAGAGCACCTCACATATCACTTCACTTGTATGAGGAGCTGGAACATATACAAACCTGCAGTATTCAGCAACATATAGTCATAAACAACAGCATATAATAAATAACAACACATAAAAACAGCAGCACTTCATAGACAGCAACACATATTAAACAGCAGCACATCTTAGTCAGCAATACATCATAAACAGCAGCACATCATAAACAGCAGCATATGATCAGCAACACATAATATACAGCAGCACATAGTAGTACCTCATGATAACATTTCGAAGCTTCCAAGATTCATCAATGAAATGAGCTGTAATAGCCATATATCCCTTCTTTTGGTGGTCAGCAGTCCACATATCTGTAGTGATAGCAACCCTAGATTGGTTCATAGTCATGTAATCAATTGCCTTCTTTTTTTCTTCTTCATAATTTTCCACAATATCTTGCCTAAAAGACAAAAGAAGAGGATACCATATGTTACCTCCTCATTTCATAGAAGAAGGTAGACGGAAATAAATCAAATAAAACCATAGCAAGGTATACCTAAAAGTATTTCTTGTATGTAGCTTGAATAGTGGCTGAAGTGCATGAACAAACTTCCTAAAACCAGCATGTTCCACTATAGACAGTGGGTACTCATGCAACACCAACATGTTACCAAGCTCTCTTCTAGCAACCTCTTGATCAAAGGTATAGCTCTCCAAAAAAACGTTACCGTCGTCCTTAGCATTCATCCTCAATGATGGCTGACTCAATGTTTTGCCTCCCTTCGTCTTCAACATCTTCAGAGTACAAATCTTTAGGTGAGTAGCAAGATGCTTCGTGCCTGCTCTGGGTCCTGAAACAAGTTCCTTGTGACAATAGTTGCACTTTGCTTTCCATTGCCCATTGATCTTGATCTTCTTCATTTCCAACCAAACTTTAGAAGTTAGCTTCCGTTTGCCTGCTTCATTGACCTCTTCCACCTCCTGCTCCTGTCCATCTTCATCATCTGAAAGAATGACATGATCGCCATCTTCATCCATTGGGGCAGATGCATCACAAGGAACATCTACTTGGTTGCTTGAACTTGTACCACTGCAAAATGAGCATAAATGAAAAAATACATCAAATTCTTGAAGTCTTCTTAATATAATACTTGATTCTACATGTGAACTGAAAGTATGATGCTCATATATGCATCATAACATCTGTAGATATCATCTATATACAAAAAAATGTATTCATCACAGCAACTATAAATAGTTAATTTTTTGTTTTCAGCATTCTTTCTTTTCAGTCCAACGATTATATTTCCAGGAAGAGTTAATTTCGAATCGTAGAGCACTTCGCATTTTTATTAACTGCAAGTCATCATTTTTCTGACCAAAACGTGCAGCTGTAGTGCTGTCTTAAATGGGCCTGAATCTTACTGTATTTTGTTTACTATAAGTAGTCTGAAACAAGTTACAATGTCTCTGCATTTTTACCCCTGGAAACTGGGAAAGTAGATGTTTACAAAATGATCTTGTACAAAAGCAGAGACGATCAGTTACCACGCCACATTAAATAGATCTAAAATATTCTGCCACCGGCCACTGCCGATTCTATCTATGTTGTTACAATGCTAAAAAATCACACAGCGAGTGATGTACTAGAACACAATTTGCTACACTTATCTCATCTCAGTAACAAATACTTCTTTTCTCAGATATACAAAAACCTCGTTCATCACAGCAGCTATATACATCATGCATAGGTAGAAAATCAATACTTATTTTAACTTATATATGCACGAAAAAAACATCATATCATCACATCATCTATACATCTATGTATCATCTACGAATGCACAAAATCATACATAAAATTGAAACTCACCAAGCCAATATAGCCTTGCTCTTGTTCTTGTGCTTGATGACAGTAGAGGATCGACTAAGCGGGCTAGGGCGACGTGGCCGGCTTGAAGTGTCGTAACGCTGCTGCACCTTCGACGCCGAGACAAGAGGTCCCTTACGTCGGCCGGGGGCTTGCCCCTTTCCTGGCGGATGGAGACGGATGGCACCATCCAACGACGGTGTTAGGCTTGGGATCAGGGCAGCCGTGCCATGCCCATGCTCCTGGCCGTGGTGGTCGCCGCCGTCCGACTCAGTCCGCTTGAGCGTGAGCTGCATCTCCTTCTCCCGGTCGCCGTCCTCGCGTAGGCTATGGTCCTCCCCAAGGTCCATGGCGTCTGAGTGGCTGGAAGCACTGGCGACGGCGAGGTAGCCAGCAGCTGGACGCATTGGCAGCGGCGACTAGCAAAGTAGTGATGCCCGAGGAGGCGAGGAGCCCCGAGATGATCGGATGAGATGAGAGACGAGGTCACGAGGAGACGAGGAGGATATCAATCTCTGTCTCTCTCAATATGGGACGTGATCACGTATTCCTTATTCGCCGAAGCCAAATCACGCTAATCACGTAGATTCTTTCCATGTACGTGCGTATGTGGGCTACAATGCTACATGTATCTCGTGGAATATATAGACTAATTTTGTGGGAAGTTAGATTGATATATGAATAGTGAAGCTGTGAAGGTCCATTAACAGATTTTACGTGGGTATATGGGTACACGGGTATGGGTTATGCTATCCCATGCCCATACCCACTGTACCCAATGGGTTTAGTATTTTTTTATTTACATAACCATGGGTATTTTTTTATCTCATACCCTTACCCTAATAGGGTTTTTACCCGCCGGGTACGCGGGTAATGGGTACCCATTGCCATCCCTAGATGGTAGATGGGAGTGGTGAAACTTGTGGCTCTCCCCTCCCCTCTCTCTGGTTCTTTATACGCCCAGGATCCAACTTCTCCTCCGGCAAACCATCCACAGGCATTGATACTCTCTGATTTCTTGCCTCTGATTGCTCACCTCCTCGGGGTACCTTTTGATTCACCGATATTCCCTTCCTGTTCAGCGCAAACGCACACACGGATTTCCGAGTTCTGATCCATGAATCCCTCAACCCCATCGGATCTTCCCTTCCTCCCCGAAGCGAATCACTTCCCTTGATCTTTCCTTCTCTTTTTTGCCTCAAGATCTCTCACTCCGGGATCGGCCGGATCGGATCTCCCCGGCGATCGCCTCAGAGTCGCCCCGACAGGGCTTCCGCTAACCACGCTCGCCATGCCACTGCACTAAGAAAAATCGACTTTTTAGGCATTGGGGAGCACCTTAATTTTTTTCCCTGTCTCAAAGCTCCATGTTTTGCAGGGATTAGGTTCCTTTTAACAAAGTAGTACTCCCTGTGTGCCAAAAAGCGTCTTATATAAAGTTGGGCTGTACTACTAACGAGCCCTAACAAAACTAAAACAAGTAGTCCTAACGAATTACAGTTAAGTCAGTTTTAACACGAGGACTTGGATTGTGTGTGCATGAGAGGTGTGAACTCTGTCATTTCTGTGTACCGTGACAGGTCGTGCTGGAGGTGTGGTGTATATAAGGCGTCGTCGGGCACAAGGATCCTCCTCTGTCTCTGAGCTTCTCTCAACTTGAAGCCACTTGCTCTGCTCTGAAGAAAAGGAAAGCACGATGGACGTATCCATCCTTCTGCTCCCGCTCCTCATCCTCTGCTCCCTCCCGTCGCTCGCCTCCGCCTGCGACCGCTACGCGCACCGCTCCAGAGCCGCCTACTACACCTCCTCGCTCACCCTCGCCGGTACGTGCCCGCGTGCCCATCGATCGACTCAATTTTCTTCTTCACACCGATCGATCGATCGATTCATGCAACTGCATACATATGCTCTGTTTCTGATTACTCGATTGTCGTTGCGCAGCCGGTTCCTGCGGGTACGGCACAGCGGCCGCGTCCCTCAACGGCGGCCTGCTCGCCGCGGCGGGCCCGGCCCTGTACAGGCAAGGCGTCGGCTGCGGCGCGTGCTTCCAGGTGCGCTGCAAGGACGAAGAGCTCTGCGGCACCGCCGGCGTGAGGGTCGTCGTCACGGACCGCGCGAGGACGAAGGAGAACGGCACGGACCTCGTGCTCAGCGGCCCGGCGTTCGCCGCCATGGCCCGCCCCGGCATGGCCGCGCGGCTCGCCAAGCTCGGCGCCGTCGACGTCGAGTACAAGAGGTAATCCAACGCCCCCCTCTCTGTTGTTTCTTTCTTTTCACCAACCGCGCGCACGGCGCACGCGCCATGTGCGGCATAAGAACAAAAACAGCGCCATGCCTGCAATCATCAATACATCTACGACCCCAGTTGTCTCGAGCTGGTAGAATTTGGAAGTTATGCTCACGGTTGTCAACGCATGTGCAGGGTGCCGTGCGAGTACAAGGGCAAGAACCTCTCGCTGCGGGTGGAGCAGAGGAGCCGCGCGCCGAACGAGCTGGCCGTCACGATCCTCTACCAGGGCGGCCAGACCGACATCGTCGCCGTCGACGTCGCGCAGGTCGGATCGTCGTCGAGCTGGAGGTCCCTGACGCGTGACCACGGGCCGACGTGGAGCACGAGCCTGGCGCCGCCGGGGCCGCTGCAGCTCAGGGCGGTGGTGACCGGCGGGTACGACGGGAAGTGGGTGTGGGCCGACCGGGAGGTCCTGCCGCGCCAGTGGCGCGCCGGCGAGGTCTACGACACCGGCGTGCAGATCACCGACATCGCCCAAGAAGCCTGCTTCCCCTGCGACACGCAGGAGTGGAGGTGACCGCCGACGAGGCAAGCCAAGAGGAAGAGCTAAGCTCCAAAATCGTGGCTGGGCGTCGAACGAACGGTCAGAGGCTCCTCGTCACTGCCGCTGGAAATTTCGGCTGGGCATGGAATTGGAAGGATAGATAGAGATTAGTAACTGACGCAGGGGCACGTAGAGCCCTCGTTGCTTATCCAACTCTTGTGGACAAACTTGCATGAGCTGCAGCTGACGTGTGAGATACTACTAGTATGTACAGTAGCAACCATGAAGCGATAATGGGTAGCGGACGGCGGCGAGGCCGTGGCCTGAATCCCCGGACAAAATACAAAGTCCGATGACTTTTCTCATCCGTGGATAACGTCGCAAGTCGCTGTGGCGCAGGATTCATGCTCCGTTGCTTTCGGCGACGATGTTCTTTACTCGCCTGACAAACGGTTTTCATTCATGGGCGCCGAGCTCGATCGTCCCGTTTGAACGGGTTGGTTGGTGGCGAGATTTATAATTTGTTGGACGAAACTAGTCGTTGGTCTTCCATGATTCACTGAACGAGCTGGTCAGGAAATTAGGGTAAAGCACAATTCGGACATGCATGCACTGAGCTGAGAACAGTTGGTGACTCGGTGCGCCAAGCGTTAGCCACTCATCAGTGCAACTGCAACTGCAACCGCAACCATCTACTCCTCTCCTCACGGTATGATGATAATGATGGCCAGTGGAACTAGTAGTGTATGTACCGGCCAATATGTATGTTGTGTGGTGGCCGGTGAAAGCCGGCCGAGATTCTCGCGGAGTGCACTGTACGTCTGTCCGCCACCACCCACACCAGGGGCGGCGCCGTCGCGCCGTGTAAATTATCCATGCAATCTGTCGAACACGGCGCAGGCACAGAGGTGACGCACACGAGCAAAACGTGCGTGTCCATCTACCCTGAACTCCATGTAGATATGTCCGCAAATCTGCATCCTGAGGCTAAATCGCGAGCACAAATGCTGGAATAGCTGGTGTAGTTAACTGGCCACAAAATTTTAGTTGGGTGGATGCAAGCAAACCAGACCTGCTTTTCTCAGGAGAGCACAAAGATTAGTGCGTAACGAAAGCAACATGGCGCTTAACTGAAACGAAAGCTCTGCCACAAGCTTGCAGCGGCCTGAAAGATTAGGTCAGGACTTAGGTGCACGCTAAATTAAGCCCTACCTTGGCGTGCAGCATCAAGCGATAAATCGATGCTAACTGAGGGTGCAACATGTGTAGCCGCGCAGTGCGATCGATCGATCGGCGCGGTGCGGTGCTGACTGATTAAAGCGGGACGAGGAAACGAGTCTGCAGGAACGGAGTGCGAGTGAGACGCCGAGCCGGCCCAGCGGCGTAATTCGCTGCCGCTTCACGATCGATGCTTCACTATCATATCCTTCGCCTGGACGTTTGCTGCCGTGTGTTCTATACTTCTACTAGTAGAATGCCCGTGCGTTGCCACGGGCAATGGATATATTTTTGGCTGTTTGCATATATAAATATTCCAGTGGTTCGACACATGTTGTGTACTTGCAATTCTTATACACATCAACTCATATTGTCGAACTTTTTTACAACACCATATCCGCACCCAGCCGCAACTATCATAGTGGATACGTTGCTACTTAGTAAATAAATAAATAATAGTCATTTTAATCTAGAACATACAGTAAATTTATTGTTAATGATGGGGAATTGACTTGTTTTTTGCTTGATTGGTGGCATGGGGCCACCCCTTTATGTTCTTCCTCCCCCCTTCTTTTTTCTCTCTGGCAATCCTGAGATAACTATTTATCACCTTGTTGACCATCTCGGATTCCCCGTCGTTCTGTGGATGGAATGCCGTACTCAAGCGCAATTTTACGCCCGCCATCTAAAAAAGATCACGCCAGACATGGCCGCTGAACACCGGGTCGTGGTCGCTGAAGATCGAGGAGGGAAACCCATGGAGGCGGACGATGTCGTCGAAGAAAGCTCGCGCGATGAAGTGCGCGTATTTGGAGAAGCGGTCGACCACCGTGAGAATGACGGACTTGCCGCCCACCTTGGGAAGGCCCTCGATAAAATTCATGGAGATGTCGGCCCAGACCTGAGAGGGCACCTCGAGGGGCTGTAGCAGTCCCGTCGGCTGTAGTGTCTCCGTCTTGTTGCGCTGGCACATCACGCAAGATCGCACCCAGTCTTGGACCAGCACATGGTCGCCGGGGATGGAGAAGTCTGCTCGGAGGCAGTGGAGGGTCTTCTGCACACCATCATGGCCGGCCGACTGTGCCAACAGAATGGTCTGGTGGCGGAGATCGCCGTATCCGGCACGAAGAGACGCTGCCCGTGCAGGAGTAGGCCGGCGTCCAGGCGCCATGGCTCCGGCAACTCGCCCGCATCGACGCGCTGCACGTGTAGCATATGCAATATAAAAAGACCCAAAGGTCGGGCGCGCCTCATCGGCGTGGAGCAGCGAGGACGACGGAGCCGAGTAGGCAGGCATCATAGTGCCGCCGTGGAACAGGGGCCCGTCGATGCCGTCGTAGGGGCCGGTGGAACCCGAGGGCCCGCCGTACTGCATGGCGGGGTGCAGCGCCGGCGGCGGCACGTGCGGTTTGCCCGAGGCCATCGTGTAGACCGGCCCGACGGACCCGAGGAGCCAGGCCAGCAACGGTGATGGCGACGGGGGGAACCAGACCTGGTGGATGGGCACCCCCTGCGCCGTCGTTGGGATGCCCTGGGCCAAGGTTGCCGGTGGCGGCAGCGCCATGGTGGGGGCGAAGGAGGTCGCCGGTGGCGGCGACTACCATGGCTGCTGCTGCGGTGCCATGATGGTGGCGAAGGGAGCTGGCGGCTGCTGGGCATAGGGTCCCGAGAGGAAGGTGCGGATGCCCAAAACCGCCTGACTGAGCTCCCGGAGCGCAGCCATCATCTCCTCTGGGGTGAAGACGATGGGGGCGGAAATCGGCGGTGTCCAATCGGCGGAGGAGATAGGCCCCGACAAGGATGGCGCGCCCGCCGTGGTGGTCATCGGCGGCGTGCTGGTGACCGGCAGCGAAAGGATGGCGCTGGGCATAGGGTGGATATGATCGAACCCGAGACTGCTGATATCAGATTGATAGGAATCGAGTCCCTACCAGGGCGTGATCTCAAGTTATAGGGTGGAAGGAGGGTTGGCGAGGTGACCGGTGTGGCCGACAACGCTGGGGCGCCGTGATCGCGCGGGAAGGAGGAGGCGCAGGGGCGGCTAGGGTTTTAGGGGTCCTGGCTCCTGAAGGGAGCTGAGCAATCAAGATTGATTATTGCTTATCCTCAAAACGGATCCTTACATGTGTTTATATAATCTTCCTATGTGCTAATAAAAATAACGGTAAATTGGGCCAAGCCCCTAACTGCCTGCGCCATTGGGCCTCCTACGGCTATAATGTACGCCGGTCATAACAGTCCTACTATCGGCTTCAGGGCTGCGACACTGGCCATGACCTCCAAGAGGAGGAGCACAAATCCGGCTTCGAGGCCTCGTGGTAATAGCCGCCAGACCACTGGTATCACAAGGAGAAGCAATGGTAGCACTGGAGGACGAGGTTACATCGATGCGATTGTCGACGTCCCGTGGTTTGTGTTCAAGTGGGCCAATGGTGCCTATGCCGCCGCTGTCCAATGAGTTGCTGATCGCAGACAACCAGTCTAAAATGTTGAAAATGTAGGAAGCGTCCAACCAAGTCACTTCTGTTAGCTGAATTTAGTATGGCATGAAAAATTGAGATCACTAAATATTGTTGTTATGACCGGATCTTATGACTGAATAGGAATTGCAGTTGCTACTTGTATGTGTGTAGAAACAGATGTAATGGAAAAAAGTTTCGTTTGCTTGAATGTTATGACTAAACGAGTGTTCCAGTAACCTTTGTGCAAGTGCAGAATTGGACAGAAGTACATATGCATAATTCTGAACCAAACTGAATGTCAATTGTTGCTCCTAACTGAACTGAACTAAATGGCACCCAAAACTGAACTTGTGCTAAAACAGATGACAACTATTGTTGGCACCCAGAACTGATTGTGTACTGAACTAAATGTCCACTATTGCCCATAATTGAACTAATACCCATAACAGAACTAAATGGTAACTATTGCCATAACTGAACTGAGTGCCAAAATTATCTAGAATTGTACATGATTGATAGACTGATGAGCTACTTGCCTACTTTATTATATACAATCGTACTCGGCGCCGAGCAATTAATTTTTATGTTTAGAAAAATATCAAGAGACCTGAGCGAAACATAGTTCTTAAATATGACGTGTGTATTATATCTCCCTAATTCCCTGAACAATTGTAAACAATTTTGTATGCGATATCATATATTTTTAAAAGCAGACTAATCTTCCACAAACTCAGGTCAGGTACCAAAATTGTCAGTATCATATTAACTCACCAGTGTTTAATCCCAAAAATCTAGGCGTGTACTTGTCCAAAAATCACATAAGATATTATTACAAGGGGTACTGAAATCTTGTGTCCTCCAAAAAAAGTACGAAAATATTACAACAAATCATCATATATGATACAACAACAACAATAACAAAGCCTTTAGTCCCAAACAAATTGATGCTAAAGTTAGAGGGTAATTAGGAACCGAGGTGCTAAAACTGGAATGACTAACCATGAATCGATTGATGCTAAAGTAATTTGTACTATAAAAGCAATCTGTACTCTGCCAGCTAGAAACACGAACATAACACGCTACACATAGATTGAAAGAACCAGACCGCTTACATCAAGGAATTTTAACATTCATGGCATGATGGAAAATCGAGGCCATCTGCATCCAAGGAGGTTCTTCACGGATGTATGCAATTGGCTGTGTTCTACAGTCGCTAGATTTTGCAAACTTTCTGCCCATCTTATGTAGAGAAGCTCGTCCGAGATTCAGGTCGGTGCCACGCCTCACCAAGTGGAAGATGCCGATCGCCAGCGCTGGATCAGTCGAGTGGAGACGCGAGAGGATGCGGTCCTA